CTGTCTCAGCCCAGCTTTGGGCTCTGTCTCAGCCCAGCTTTGGGCTCTGTCTCAGCCCAGCTTTGGGCTCTGTCTCAGCCCAGCTTTGGGCTCTGCTGCCCTGACTGAGGGAATTCTGAGTTCAAACCACACTGCTTGTACCTGAGCCTGGTTTAAAACCCAAGAGCAGAGTCCAGCACTCCAAACCTTTATCCCAGAGCTTGTTTGACCTTTCTCCCAGGCGAGCCCGGGCTCCTCATCCCCCAGCACTCACCCAGGCCTCTCCTGGCCCTTGGCTCCTCCTCAATGCTGGGCCTGGATCCAGCCATCGACTCTTAATCTGCTTCTGTTCCTGCTCCTTTGGGCAATGATTGTAAACTTTATTGCCTTCCCTTTGCAAGTGTGATATCCCTCAAAGAAGAAAGCAATCCTTTGTTGTAGCTGTTTGCAGGAGCATAGAACTAACCCTGGCTGGCTTAAAATATCTGATCTTTTTTAGCAAAAGGGCTGCTGGCACTTGGGATTGAGGAAAACCACTGCCAAGATTGTGCTGAGGCTTCAGAGTTACCGTGGTCTTTTAGCAGTGTAAATATCTGTGTTACAGCTCGTTTGGCTGTTTTATTCCACGCCACGTTTGGGAGGTGAAGGATGGAAAATTTTGTAATGATTAAACTAAATAGCTGCTGTATAGTTCAAAAAGGAAAAAAACAAGATAGTTTCAAGTCTTTGTCTTACCCTGGTGTGGGATCTGGGATTCAAGAATTGCTTTCAAACCAAGAAACTTGTGTATTTTTTTAAAACAGTATGTTGGGGCTACATAAATGAGCTGCTTTCTGAAGAACCATTAGAGATGGGACTATACAGCAGGAATGGGAAGCCTGTCATTTGCATTTTCTCAGTGTTTTCTATTTAAATGAAGGCTCATTTACAAGTTCAAGGAGTTTTTATTTGTTTCTTTCAGCCTTTCAAAATGAAGAATTTAAAATTTAGCACGTCTAGCACCTAGTAAGGGGAAATAAAAACTCCCACCAGAGTAAGGCAGAGCAGGGAAGGGTGCCTGTTTTGGGAGCAGTGGAACGTGGATTTCTGGCTTGGGCTGGCCTGGGTTTGGGATTTTTATTTCATGTGAAGTGGATAGTTAATATCCACCTAGAGCTGATGTCACCTCCATGTAATGGTGTTTAAAGCTGTCAGCTGGGCTGCCTGGGAATCATGGAATCATTTGGGTTGGAAAAGCCCTCCCAGCCCATGGATCCCCCTGTGCCCAATGCCCACCTTGTCCCCCAGCCCAGAGCACTGAGTGCCACAGCCAGGCCTTCCTGGGACACCTCC